AAAAATACAACAAGTATTTTGCTTGTTTTTCAGTAAAATATCTAAACATTATCTAAATCTAACTCTATCTAATAATATATATAAATCAAAGAAAGAAACAAAGAATTTAAGCAAAATGACAAGATCTTTGATCTTTGATGGAGTCTTTTTTGTTTGTTTGTTTAAAACAATAATAAATATCTGCCAGTGGGCTCAGAAAAATAAACTTGTTTTCCCTTTGAATTAAGTTTATTGTTCTGAGCCCATTGGCAGATAACCTTTCTTGTTTTAAGTATAAACTCACTTAATTTAGATTTTTATTTTCAGAAAACAAGACTTAATAATATAATAAAATAATTAATAAAATAATTTTCTCCTTAACCTCCTCATATACAGTAGTGGCCAAAATGATTAGAACACTAGTATTTTCAGCAGCTAAAAAATGGTTTTAAGTGAGTTATTTCTGTCTTTCGCTGTAGTGTGTCAGCAGAAAATATCAGTTTACATTTCCAAACATTCATTTTGCCATTAATTGTAATAATAATGAATGGCAAAATGAATGTTTGGAAATGTAAACTTAACAAAAATGTTTAGATATTTGTACTGGAAAACAAGACAAGAAATACTGAAGAAAATCATTTTTGCAGTGCACATTAAACATACAGTATATGTACTAACCAGGTCCTGGTTGCTTGTGAATGCGAGTGAGCTGTTTTTGTAATCTGAGATATGATGCCGTACTGTTGGCCAGAGGGCTCTTGAAATGTGGCCTTTTAGTCAGAATAACACAAATCAAACATTCAATACAGCCTTCTTGCCTTAATGAATTATTTTTCGGCCTATGAAAGAAAATCAAGCGTATCGGTGGACCGGTGTTGATTGTACTTTCAAAAAAGCCTGGAAGCAGAACATGAAACAAACACAGCAGAGGGATCAAACGCCGGGCCCGGGGGGAAAGAAACATGCACACTGATATAGTACAGGGCTTTAATGACAGATTGCTAAATAGCACTGTTATGCTTTTTAAATGCAAATGAGGGTGAGTGAGTTTCAGAGGCGTGGAGAGAGCGACCCATTTTCAGAGTCTGGGATGATGAGTCAGGGTACGAGAGCGTGGGAGTGCGGCCGCATTTAGACCGACCGCAAAGAGATGCACATGCGAAAGCAGAGATTTCACACAGACAGACTGTGCAACACATTTCTTTGTCTTCTGCATGCATCGAGGCAAACGCATGTTATCGAAAAGCCCATGCTGTGATAAATCCCGGCCTGAAAACACTTGTTGCAGAGCTGAAGGTGTGGTAAGAAGAGATGTGCATGCCTTTGCATTTATTTATTCGGACCGGAGCTGTGAAATAAGCATGATAATGAACAATCAGATGATCATTATTACATGGGGTGGCCATACGCCCTGTGTATTTCCTGGCTGGGATTTCTAAATTGCCTAAAATTTCCAGGTTTGGTTTTGTTTTCCCATCATGATTGTACTTGTTAATGACTGAAAAGTAGTATGCATGCATTGTGCATAATTAACCAATCCAACTGTGGTGTGCGAGAAGGTGGGATCTATAGAGGACAGCCAAAGCAATGCAAGTACGTGTACATGCGTATAATGTATGAGGACTGTAGTCCAAATCAATAGGAAAACAAAGACAAACCTGGACATTTTAAGCAATTTACAAATCCCAGCCTGGACAAGAGGATGTACACACACCCCCCATAATCACAAAATGAACCCTTTTAGGTTGATAAGAGACACCTCGACTTCAAAAAAAGTCAATGGTCCAAAATCGTTCCACATATCAACATTATACGTTTAATATCTTCTGACTGATTTACAGCATTTAAATTTAAAGCTCGATGATTTGATATAAGAGTGCCCAGGTTTGAATGTTTGAAAGTGATGAATTTAAGACATAAATATTTTTGTTTATATTTGTGTTTGGATGTCTCAGCAGTAGCAATATCACTCATATTGCAGTTCAAATTACAATATATGACAAATAATGTATATAATATATATGCAGCCCTATATATATATATCTAAAAATAAAAACAATCAAAATAAATGACTTACTAAAAAATGTTTTAATATTTGTCACAGTTTATTTGAGGTGTTTTAGTTTCGGTTTCAATGACTTTTAGAATGTTTCTCTTTGTTTCCTGTTTCCTTTGTTCCAGCGTTCCGTTTGTAATTAGTTGCCATGGTTATTCATTATGTTACTAATTAACACACAATTTTGAACACACACAGCTGCAAAATTTCACAAATGAAATCCAGTTATTCCAATATTTCCACAAAAAAAAAAAAAACTTCACCATTAATTTCGCTCATGATCAAGTTGGGTGTTTTTTTTTTTTTTTTTTTTTAGTTAGTTTTGAATTTGAGTAAATTGTTGTTACATTACAAAATTAATCTAAATGCTCATCCCTAATAACCAGCTCATCACACACCTGTTTGATGCCCCAGCTGTGTCCCCTCTGAGGCTGGCATGGTGAAGTCTGCCTCCCAAATGGGTGAGTTCTCTCCATAGATTTCTTCTTCCAACATGGAAAGAAACCTAGTAAACACACACACAAATAAACAAACAAACATGCTCAATTACACTATGTGAGAGTGATGGTGCTGGAGTGTGTATTAGAAGACGGTATTGTGTCTTACTTGGGGAAGTGTGTGAGGATCAGAGTGCGTTTCTCTGGTGGGAGTTTGTCTTTCTCCACTCTGAACTTCTCCAGTAACTGTCATGTGGCCGGTCCTAAGTGATAGTTCACTCAAAAATGAAAAGTCTGTCATCATTTACTCACCCTCATGTCGTTCCAAACCTGTATGACTTTCTTCTGCTGAACATAAAATAAGATATTTTGAAGAATGTTGGTAACCAAACACTTGATGGTCCCGATTGACTTCCCTAGTATTTTTTTAAAATGCTGACAGAATTTTTATTTCTGGGTGAACTGTCCCTTTAAGGGTTGGCTGACAAAAACATTTGCAAACCCCTGAATTAAGGTATATTTTACGTCATGAACAGTGCAGGACGGGTTACATGTGAACACATACAGTGGGTACGGAAAGTATTCAGACCCCCTTAAATTTTTCACTCTTTGTTATATTGCAGCCATTTGCTAAAATCATTTAAGTTAATTTTTTTTCCTCATTAATGTACACACAGCACCCCATATTGACAGAAAAACACAGAATTGTTGACATTTTTGCAAATTTATTAAAAAAGAAAAACTGAAAAATGCTCAGTATTTAGTAGAAGCACCCATTTGATCTAATACAGCCATGAGTCTTTGGGAAAGATGCAACAAGTTTTTCACACATGGATTTGGGGATCCTCTGCCATTCCCTCTTGCAGATCCACTCCAGTTCTGTCAGGTTGGATGGTAAACGTTGGTGGACAGCCATTTTTAGGTCTCTCCAGAGATGCTCAATTGGGTTTAAGTCAGGGCTCTGGCTGGGCCATTCAAGAACAGTCACAGAGTTGTTGAGAAGCCACTCCTTCGTTATTTTAGCTGTGTGCTTAGGGTCATTGTCTTGTTGGAAGGTAAACCTTAGTTCCAGTCTGAGGTCCTGAGCACTCTGGAGAAGGTTTTCGCCCAGGATATCCCTGTACTTGGCCGCATTCATCTTTCCCTCGATTGCAACCAGTCGTCCTGTCCCTGCAGCTGAAAAACACCCCCACAGCATGATAAGGGGGTCTGAATACTTTCCGTACCCACTGTAAATAGTTTAGAATTAACACTAACACTTAAGTTTGGGGACCAATTTTCACTATTAACTAGTTGTTTATTAGCATGCATATTACTAGCATATTGTCTGTTTATTAGTACTTGCAGTATAAAGTACATATTAATGCCTTACAGGCTACTGCATTTAGATCCCTTAATCCGAGCCCATTACTAACTATTAATAAGCTGCAAATTAGGAGTTTATCGAGGCAAAAGTCATAGTCAATAGTTAGTTAATAATGAAAATTGGTCCCTAAACTGTGTGACAGAATTAACTGTAGTATGAACAACACACATTAGTCAGCGTAGCACCATATGTAATTTCTTACAGGAATTAAACAAGGCTGCGAGGGACTGAAGTACAGCGCGTTCAGTGGATTGTACTGTTGATTAACAACACAGCGATCGTTCAGCTGACAAATCGTCTTTCTGTTTTAAAAGAAGTGAAATTATGTGATTTACGACCTTTATGCAGTGCGTGCCACTGTAAAGACTGTACATGTGTTCCTCACAGCCTCATTTTCATCAGTGTTAAAGGTGTATACACTCTCAGGAAAAAAGGTACAAAAGCTGTCTGTGTCGGTACCTTTTCAAAAGAAACTCCTTTGCACCTTATTTACCCCTATAAGTACCTTAAAGGTACATATTAATTCCAAAAGTGTACATGTGAGTACCTAAATGACACATATTAGTACCTTTTAAAAGGTACTGTGCCAGTGACAGCTTTTGTACCTTTTTTTATGAGAGTCTATCTCTGTCTATTCAGCATGTCTTTCAATGCTCGTGTGTGTGTGTGAGAGATGAAGATGATTATGCGACTCGGGACGTGTCTAACCCTTACTGTTTGACTCGGCGTGTCACTGAATTTTATCACTGCTATGATTCCCTGCTCTCAATATTAACAGGAGGCTTTCATTAACCCGAGGTCAGGCTTCATGTGTCCGCAGGGCTTTTTTCATCACTCTCACCATCTTTCTCTTTTAATCTATCTCTCCTCTCCCGAATGTCATTTCTCCTGGTTTTCCTTATTAGCTCTATTTTTTAGTGTGACTGCAAATTCACCCTAGCAAAACCGCCAGCGATTTAATGACTAAACACTCCTTGAAATGACCTGCCCTCTCATACCGTGTTGGAAAATATTGCCGTTTTCTTTCTCGCTCAGTGATTCAAGTGTGAACTTTATCGGGACCCTAAACCAGATACAGAATAATTTACACCCTGCATGTGAGATTGTGGTCATTTCCTGTAAATTTACAGTACAATTGCTGTACGTTGTTCTCTTTTCGCAGGCCTGGCTCACAGAGATTCACGAGTTCACTCAGCAGAACGTAGTGATCATGCTTCTGGGTAACAAGGTCAGTGAACCTGCCGAACCTTATAGATACGTCATGTGAAACCTTATGCCCTTATGCATGTGTTGCATCAATTCATACATCATTAATGTAGAAAACATTGAAGACTAATGCATAATGCATTGTTTATTGATTGATTCATTGAGCGATTGATTGATGTTTCAGGCCGATTCCACACATGAAAGGATTGTGAAGAGAGAGGAGGGTGAAAAACTGGCTAAGGTTTGGCTCATACTTTTAATTCTTTATTAGTAAAACCTTTTTAAGGGACAATGTAATTTTAAACCTTTAAACAGTAACTACAAATCAACTGCAGACAAGATAAATCGCTCACCTTATTTAGCCTCTTTTATTGTTTTTGAGAGGTTGCACAATTATTTACAGTACATATGTGACACAAACAAACTTATGCAGTTATTAGTTTTTTTAAATACTAATCATCATTTTTTTAAATACTAATCTTTATGTGTAAAACTATGGAAAATTTCTGAATGCATCTTTAAATGGGAACACATCACTGTATGTGCAGTTTTCACTAATGCATTTCATGCATTAATTGAAACAGTAATTACAAATACATAACAGACTAAATTAAAGGTTTAGTTCACTTCCAGAATGAAAATTCCCTGATAATTTACTCACCCCCATGTCATCCAAAAGGGTCTAATATAGTGAAACGATCCGTCATTTTCTTAAAAAATAAAAATTTATATACTTTTTTAACCACAAATGCTCATCTTGCACTAGCTCAGCGATGCGCATGCGCTACTTCATGCATTGCGTAATAAACACTGGAAAAGTCACACGTGGTTAGTTCTTCGTCTGTGTACTCCGGTTCAAAAAGGGTGAAAAACTGCATCACATTTTCTCCTCCAATTTCAAAATTGTCCAACATTATTGTTTTGCCTTTTTTTTTTCTAAAGGGCGTTTGACTTTCTTTGCACGTTCACTTTGTAAGCACTGGGTCGGTACTTCCGCCGATGTCACGTGTGCATGATTATGTAATGCTTGAGGTCGAGCTAAGATGAGCATTTGTGGTTAAAAAGTATAGAAATGTTTATTTTTTTTAGAAAACGACCGACTGTTGTGCTAGATAAGACCCTTACTCCTCGGCTGGGATCCTGTAGAGCCCTTTGAAGCCGCATTGAAACTGCAATTTGGACCTTCAACCCGCTGATCTCCATTGAAGTCCACTATATAGAGAAAAATCCTGGAATGTTTTCCTCAAAAATGTTATTTCTTTTCGACTTATAAGATGACATGGGGGTGAGTAAATTATCAGGAGTTTCTCTATGCCTTATTTAGCCTCTATTATTGTCTTTGAGAGGTTGCACCTTTTAAATTATTTATGCACATGTGACACAAAAACACACACATGTGCACTGATCCCACTCTTTATAAATGCAATGTGCATTATTTTTAATGTTAATTTGTGTCTGTATGTTATAAAGAAGGAAGAAGAGCATTTATTCTTTCTCTCTAAAGGACTTTGGCGTTCCCTTCATGGAAACCAGTGCTAAATCAGGTCTGAATGTGGAGTTGGCCTTCACTGCTGTGGCCAAGTAAGTCATTCATTTTCAGACAGAATCTGTTTTTTTTTACCCACTGAGTAAACCTGGCAACGTGTTCTACTGTAAATGGAGCTGAGAGAGCCGCTCTCTTAACGGCAGCTGAAAGCATGATCAAATTAGCCCAGATATCTAATAAACAAACACACAATTCTAAAATCAGGACATTCTGTGTGGGGCTAATATGTACTGATTCATCTTTATACTGGAAGACCGTTTACAGACACATAACATTAGCAACAGCATAGCAACACATGAAAAACCATGCAGAACGCTTTAGCAACTGCATAACAACACAATGAAACATCATAGCAACCACTTAGCAACATATTAAACACTTAAAACACCTTAGCAACACACTAAAACACCATAGCATCCGCATAGCAACACACTGAAACCCCATAGCAACCACAAAGCAGCACATTAAAAATCTCACAGAACACATTTACTCAGAACATTTTAGCAACTGCATAGCAACACACTGAAACACCATAGCAACCACATAGCAACATATTAAAACACTTAAAACACCATAGCAACTGCATAGCAACACAATAAAATACCATAGCAACCACATATCAATGCATTAAAAATCAAACAGAACACATTTACTCAGAACACAACTGCATAGCAACACATTGAAACACGATAGCAACCACATAGCAACACATTAAAAACACTTTAAACACCTTAGCAACCACATAGCAACACACTAAAACACCATAGCAACCGCATAGCAACGCACTGTAACACCATAGCAGCCACATAGCAAAACATTAAAAACACTTAAAACACCATAGCAAACATAGCAACGCATTAAAAACCACACAGAACACATTTACTCAGAACACTTTAGCAACTGCATAGCAACACACTGAAACACCATAGCAACTGCATAGCATCACACTGAAACACCATAACAACTGCATAGCAACCACATAGCACCATATTAAAAACACCTTCACTTAAAACATTTTATCAGCAGCATAGCAACACACTAAAGTACCATAGCAACTACACAGCAACACATTAAAAAACACTTAAAACACCTTAGCAACCGCATAGCAAGACGCTAAAACACCATAGAAACTGCATAGCAACGCATTAAAAACCATTTAAAACACCTTCACCCAGAACACTTCAGCAACTGCATAGCAACACACTGAAGCAATATAGCAACTGCATAGCAACACATTAAAAACAATTAAAACACCTTAGCAACCCCATAGCAACACACTAAACTGCATAGCAACGCATTAAAAACCATTTAAAACACCTTCACCCAGAACATTTCAGCAACTGCATAGCAACACACTGAAGCAATATAGCAACTGCATAGCAACACATTAAAAACAATTAAAACACCTTAGCAACCCCATAGCAACACACTAAAATACTACAGCAGCCACTTAGCAATGCATAGCAAAGTATGACCAACGAAACACTCTAAAACACCATAGCAACCACATTGCAATACTTTCAAAAATGCTTAAATCACAATAGCAAAGCACTAGCAACACACTAAAACACCATATCAACCTCATAGCAAACACATAGCAATGCATTAAAGACACTCAAAACACCTTAGCAACTGCATAGCAAAACACTCAAAACACTCAAAACGCCTTAGCAACCACACAGCAACCACCCATAGCACTCTAGCATGTTTTCACAGGCAAACTCCACTCAAATTTTCTTCGGAAAGTGTAAAAATCTGATATGTTAATATGGTGATAACGGGAAACGAGTGTTGCTCACATGTTCTCTGAATGTTCTGGTTTGTTAGCTCACACAGCAGCATTGTGTGTCTGTTGGTGAAAACAGAGGGCTGAATCCACTAATACATTTGCGCCACTTTCCCATGCAGTATTTCAGCACAAATTTCAAGATGCATCTTATTGATTATTCTTTCAATTTAACCAGTTTATACCAGCTAAAAATGCATGTACTTTTATGCATTTAGCAAATACTTTTATCCGAAGCGTCTTACAATATGCATTATTCATTTCAAATGTTCATTTGTGCCTGTATTTTGCATTTTCTTTTTTTCTCTCTCTAAATAATCATTGTGTAGTGCTATTTAAATTCAGTTTCAGTGCAAACACACCTCTTTTCTATGTAAATGATTATTAAATGGCATCTTATTGACAAACCTAGTACTGTTTGCCTGGTGCAATTAGTTCTGGGTAGATTACTTATAAATTGTAGTCTGTAACTGATTCCAAATTACATGACAAAAATTTTACTTCTTTAACATGATCCATTACATACATAAAAAAGTAGCTGTAACTGTAATCTGATTACGAGTATTTTAAAATGTAATATAATTTAATCACAAGTACTTGATTTGTGGAACCTGATTACGTAATCCAGATGTACATGTACTCAGTTACTACCCAGCACTGGGTGCAATTAATGTTGCACTTGGGGGCGTTTTGTTTTGCTGCAGGTGTAATCCAATTTAGCCAGCTTATTAAATTATGACTTATTCACAAACATGCATTCCTGTAGCTCAAACTGTAGCTCAAACATGGTGCTAGGAAATTCCAAGATGATGGGTTTGATTGCCACCAAATGCATGGACTGATAAAAATATACAACATGAATGCAATTAAAGTCAGTTTGGATAAAAGCATGTCAAATGCATGTATGTGAATAACTCTCACAACTGACTCGTAAAGTGGGGTATTGCCAGTGCAAATTACATTTTAATGTAATAATTTGTTCATAATAAATCAAATAATATTGAACTAACTTCAAGGTGTTTTTGTTAAAATATTTGTGCACGTTTTTAATATATAAATAATGCATTTTGAAATAATAATATATTTGTTAAAATATTGATTCCTGTGTAAATATGTGTACAGTGTTGATTTTGGGGCGTGTTTGCACAGTTACTGGATTTGCGTAATTGCTTGTAATTGTTTCTCAGGGAACTGAAGCACAGGGAGATGAAGGAGCCTAACGAGCCAAAGTTTCAGCTGCAGGAGTATGTTAACAAGGAGATGAAGGGAGTCGGCTGCTGTCGCTCCTAAAGCCGCGCGCGCTCGTGCGCATCCATCTCTCTGTCTGTCTGTTTGTGTGTTTTCCACTTTCATCCTCTTCTCTCGCATAAATTGGATGCCTGTCAGATATTCTTCTGCGGCTCTGGAGACTTTCATTTTCAAACGCTGTGTTCTTTCTTTGGACCTCCATGCACTTCACAGCTCGCAAACAATAGCGAACGACACGAAGCTAACGTGGTGTAAAGAGAAGCAGTCATCAGAATGCAATTGGCACGTGCTTAAATATTCACACCCTCAATAAACACAGACCCACCGCTCCAAGCAGCTGTGAATGTATGTTCAACACTCATGACCAGTGTGTCTCAAAGTTAGCTTTTATTACATGGCAAAATCATTCAGTTATCCAATTACTTAGTTAGATGTACTTTTCTGTGGCAGCTTCACTTGAACCCAATTATATACCACTTTTCCTGTTAAAAATACCCTCAAGTGTGTCATAAACGTGGTTGTTCAGCACAGAGAAAATTACAAGTGTAAAAGCATAATTAACAAAGACTTATCTTTTTATAACTTGCGGTTTTCTGTGGTTTCAGTCTCATTTGGTAAATGTCTTACAAAATGAGTCCTTTGTAGACATTGAAAAATAAGTGCAACATTTTTAAAATTGTGTTAGTGAGATGCTTAATTTTATTCTTTTATTATTTTAATGCAACAGGTTGCATATCTTGATTTGCTTCTTCACCCCCCAATGAAAAGAACATAGCTGATTTACATTGTGTTTTTTTATCTTTCTGTTTTTAAAGCCTTGGTAATGATAGTTGTAAACTTTTGATTGTGTCTCTTTAAGGTTAAATTTGCTAGACTTTCTCTATGTCATGTACAATTTGATCATTTCTCTTTTTTGAATAAACCATCACACATTACACTACAATCCAAAGCTAATCGACGACATAAAATATGGAAGCTTGTTTCTGTCATATATATATATATATATTCAGATAAGTAAAGAATTGCAAGAAGTAATTGTGAATAAAATGCAGAATTGCATGGTTTAAACTCAAAACTGTGAGACATAAACTTGCAATTTTAAGAAGAAAAGTCCAAATTGTGAGAGATAAACACAGTTGTGAGAAGAAAGTTTGAATTCTGAGATAAAAAGTCACAATTACCTTTTTTTTTTTCCATGGTGGAAGCAAAAAATTAATAAAAAATTGATATAAACTTAAGAAATCTGAGAAAAAAGATCAAATCTGTGAGGGAAAAAGTCATAATTGTGAGATAAAAAGTCACAGTTACCTTTTTATATATAATTGTTTAATTCTGTGCGAAAACAGGATTCTGTTGACAGACGGAAAGTTTGATTAAGTTTGTCAAAAGAAGTCGTGGCCTCTTTACACTCACAGAAGCACATGCTCATATTCATGTCATATTCTCTCCACTTTTGTCATTGTTATTTGTCAATGTCTTCATAAAATATGAACTGATATGAAAGATGAATGTATGTATTGTACATGAAAAACATCATATAGCACTTACAGTAGTTTGCATAACATATAATTAGTGTTTTGTTAAAAATTTAGTATCGTCCTGTACGCTAAATATATAGAAAGCTTTAACTAGAATTAGTAGCTTTAAGAGATGTTCAGAATGTGCCAGAATTTAACAACTTGATGTTACGTCGATACTATGCGTACTGTGGATAGTTTAGTATATCGTGCTGTACAAATATTTTCAGTACTATGCCTTTGCACTTTTGTTCTTGTTGTTTTTGTTGTTGTTGTTCATATTTTTATCATCTGATACTAAAGGAAGACCAGTATATGGCCTGAAATGAATATTTTGTTGGTCAGGAAATTTGTACTGATGTGCCATTTTTAGCTGCTCAGAGATTTTTGATGACAAATCAACTGATGTATATAAGTTCAATTCAGTTTTGTTTTCCCCTGTGAAGAAATCACATGAACAGGTAATATCACAGAAATGACAAGCAATGATATACAGATCTTTTTTCTATCTGGTAGAGGTCAACGCAAAGCGTTGATCTAAGTGTTGACATGGGGTTTTTTTTCAAAGTTTTTATGTAATGTGTATTGTATTCCCAACAATAAATCGGACAGTGAAGTGAATTCTGCCTTGGTGTCTCAATAATATGATCTAACAGTGACCTCTCATGGACACAACATCACATTGCAGCTCTTTCCTTTATATAAATATACAGTATATACAGTTAGGTCCATATGTGACCCTGGAGCACAAAACCAGTCATAAGGGTCATTTTTTGAAATTGAGATTTATACACCATCTGAAAGCTGAATACATTTCCAGCTTTCCATTGATGTATGGTTGACAATATTTGTCTGAGATACAATTCCATATTTGAAAATCTGGTATCTGAAAGTGCAAAAAAATCAAAATATTGAGAAAATCATCTTTAAAGTTGTCCAAATGAAGTTTTTAGCAATGCATATTACTAATCAAAAATTAAGTTTTGATATATTTACGGTAGGAAATTTACAAAATATCTTCATCGAACATGATCTTTACTTAATATCCTAATGATTTTTGGCATAAAAGAAAAATCAATAATTGTGACCCATACAATGTATTGTTGGCTATTACTACAAATATACCCCAGCGACTTAACACTGCTTTTGTGCTGCAGGCTCACATATAAAACACTAAAATAACACTGGGCACTGTATGGAGCCGGTCACACATAAACACACCCGTCATGAGCGGATCAGGTTTTCAAACCCGCGGCTGTCAGTCATCTCGGGTGAAGCTGCGTGAATTATTGAAGCAGGCGGGTGGAGGGTCATGTGGGTCTGTGACCGCGGACAGACAGATAGCGGCTGGAGATCTGTCCGTCTCGCTCTTATTAAAGCAATGACACCTGATCTGCGCAGGTAACAGAGCGCCAGACAGAAGAGCAGCGACTGTCTGGAAAACACACTGATTAGACTGATCTCAGGTGCTCTGACCAAAGCAGCACATTATGATCACATCTGTAATGCTCAATGCTGTGATGCTTTTGTCTGGATTCATGCACTGCAAGAAAAAGAAATCCCGAGCAAAATGGAAAAGGTACTGGTCATTTTCTGCCAGGACTTTATCTGTTCAGTTTACAGACATTTCCAATAAATCTAGAACATATCACAGTGCAATGCAATGCGTAATTCAAAATTCAGGTAAAACAAAACAAAACAAAGCAAAACAAAACAAAACAAAACAAAAAATAAATGCAAAGCAATGCAACAAATAAACAAATATATAGTAAAATAATAAAAAAAATAAATAAATAAAAATTAAATTTATTTAAAAAATAAAACTTGAAGCAGCACAATGCAAATAAAATAAAATATAATACACAGCAATGCAATGTAATATAATACAAAAATGAAATAAATAGCAAAAAAGACTAAACTAAAATAATATAATATAAAATAAAATAATGAAAAAAAAAATCAATACAGAAAATGTGTAACACAGTAGGGTCCTGTTTTTAGTGTAGGGATTTTTCAAAAATACAAAATAAAAAAATAAAAATGCAATCATACAGACTTAAATAACTTAAGTCTACAATGATGAAGATGTTTTCAATACCTGAATTTAAAATTTTTTGATATTTTTTGTGGGGCATGTAAACCTTTTGATAAAAAATGCTAACATTTCTGTGTAGATTTCATTGTTTTATTTGAAAATTAATTTTATATATATATATATAACTTAAAAAAACTTAAAGATTTTATTTTAGCTAGACTTTTAGCTATTCTGCTTTTGTTTAAAGTACTAAATTAATTACAACTAAAGAAATTAAAACAACAAACATAAAAAACTATATAGATATATTAATTAAAAAAACTAATAAAAATCACAAAACAACACAAAATTACACACCCACACACTCACTGACGGACGGACACTCACAGACAGACAGACAGACAGACAGGCACTCACTCACTCACTCACTCACTGACGGACGGACGGACACTCAC